TCAATGTTTTTCATACTTGTCTCAAGTTTCTTTCTTCAATATTGTTATGTCTATAAAATAGAGAAAACAGTATTACGCATCAAAATAATAATAATAAAAAAAAAAAAAAAAATTCTCAATTCTCGATGAGCAATTAAAGATTATAGTAGATGCTTGTATATATATAAGCATTGATAAGGATTCAAACAATCAGTCGATAAAATAGGCACGCATCTACTCTTTCCACGTATATACTAGAGTTTTTAGACGCAATTAAAACATTATTCTATAAAGCACAAAATTTTCATGTTTAGGAGAAGAATGGTTGATTTTCTAATTTGTTTTTGTTAAGATTAATATTAATCCAAAATGTTAGAATCCTAGCCATGATGGGTTTAATATGATTTTATGATTATTGTTTAAACGCTATAGCGACATATAGACAAAGAATTATTTTAGGTTTTTTTTATTCAAGATCATGAGTAAAATACGTTTTTTTTTTTTTATAGATGAAAAAGGTCATGAATGATTTGTGTATATATATATGTAGGTCATTTGATGTATGTTCAAGAAGTAAACGTTAATATTAAAAATACCTTAAGGCTGGATATTATATTAGTTTCGAATGAAAAAAGAAAAAAGAAAAAAAAAAATTGAAGTCAAGTGTATCGTCCTAAATTAAGTGATTTTTCTTGTTCTTCTCTATTGTTTTTTTGTTTTTTTTTATTAGCTAAGGTCATATACTAGGTGTTCAATAACACGACAAACTAATTGTAGATGTGAATATACGTGAATCCACACGCTTTTTCTTTCTTTTCTGTTTCTTTTAACTAGAATTTACTATACAGGCACCTGTGGAGAAAGTAAACTATGTGTACTCTATCTTATTTAAACTGTAACTTTGATTGACAAGACACATATTGTTTTTTATAATTTATCGATCATATATATGATTTGTTTTAGTAAGATAAAGATTTTTTTTTATAAAAAAAGGAAATCACAGCATGTTATAAATGAACAAGTAAGATTTATAGATTTACAATATTTTTGCTTGTTTCTCTATCATTTTGTTCAAAGTGAATATTACTTATTGATATTTTACATTGATTATTGAGAGATGCTAAATGATGACTGAACTACATATTAGAGTTAAAAACCAGATCTTGAACTTTTTCTCTTAATAGATGAAGACTATTAAATGTATAAGTTCAAGTAGTTAAAAGAGACCGAGCTAGTGCATCGATCAAAAGTTTGATTATTCATACATTATCGGATAAATCAAATATAATGAAAACTGAATATTTTTTTTGTTATAGAATAAAAACATATCACATTGTTTTTCGAATATATGACTAATGTATATAATAGGGTTTGAAAACATCTTGCTTTTTTCCTTCTTTTGACTAAAAATGTGTTACTTTATCGTACTTTCAAAATTTTATCCTAAAATTTGTACGTTTTAAAAAATTTTTTCCTTTTTTTAATATATTTTACTTACAAAGATTTGATTTTTTTGTCTGTTTTTTTATCTTTGAACTTTTCAGTTTATTAGTAACATCGTGATCTATAACTTTCATTTGTTTGCTATTTTGATATTTTAAACTCTCTATGTATATTAAAGTGTTAAAATGCCGATTTTCAAAACTTTTCTACTTATTAATCGATTCAAGCACTATATTACGCATGAACAGTGTTATGCATTAAAACAGTGCACATAAATAAAATGTCTAGAAAATTTAGCATGTCGGTCGATCTTTTCCACGTCATGTTTTCACATTTAGAATTTAAAGTAAAAATACTAGTAAAAATGCAACTTTTACTTAATTAGTATACCGTAAGGTAAATAGAGACGGACTGAATTGTGATCTAACTTATAGTCACTTGTGCGATATTATTGAATTGAAGTAGCATAATGCAAAAGCGTTTTTAGGCTCATTTCCGCATACTATTTTTCGATTTGAAAACCTACTAAAACGATTTACAAAAGTCTATTTTTTCCTACTTTTGGATCTTTATCTATTCCGATCTCTGATATAGAAATAAATGTTTGTTAAATATTTTATGGTTAATATCTTTATTCGCATGCATTTTGTATTAGCAAACGGTTTCCATTTCAAAACAGTATGTCCCTATATATTATTGTCCTTAATTGTATAGATCGATGAAGATACAGTGGTCATTGATTGAGAATGATTCTAACCATATGGTGCGTACCTAATAAAATGAAATTAAAATAATCATAAAATGAAATAATAAATGTGATTTTTACGTTCAATTTTCATTTTAATCTACGATGAATAAATCAAATTTTATATTTATAATCCATAGTTCATGTCGTGTTTATTACTCTGATAAATATATGGGACAACATCTGTAAACATGGCTTATAATGATGAGTCCTTTCGTATAAGATATTTTAAATGATTAAATAGAGAAAAGTCGAAATGAATCATAAAACTAAATTAGTCATAAATAATTTTTAACATTTATACGTTATAGTAGAGGAAAAGGTTTAATTACGGAAGCTCTTTATCTTCTTCTTTTTTCATGGACAATAGATGTTTAAGCTGACCGTAATGACATTTGAATTTATTTAGAGTCATTCATTTATTGATGTAGTATTTATTTTATTTAAAAATGTCAACAAGAGATTTTGAAACAGGATATATAAAAATAATAATAAGTTGAAGTGTCAGTTATCATTTCCTTATTGTGTCAAATTTGTGTTACATTTTTATAGATAATTATTTCACACTTCACATACACACAAACGTACGTACTCTAGTTGAAAAAACAAAACAATTTTTAGAGACCTGTAACCTAATGGAATTCTAATCTGACTAGAAATAGTTTAGTTTCTTTCTGAAAAAAAAAATAAAACGTGAGACGATTCAGTTGTCAGTCGAACATAAACAGATTTTTTTTGTAAGATATAGGACAAGGAGTTCTATTCACTTTTTATAGTCATACAGTTTTGACTATAAATAATTTCTAAGTCATTTTGCTGGAGTTTTACAAACAAGTTTTAGTTATCACTAAGAACATAAAAGTTTATAGTGTATCACGAAATAGCTCAGAAGTCGATTATCTGAATGTGGTTTTAGAATGAAAATAATTCTTGACTTTGTTTAAAATGACTAGATTCTTATCAGAAAACCATGTAAATCCTTAATATTTATTTTCACTCAAAAAAATCATCGTAAAAACAATAATTAAAATGTCAAGTGCAGTTATCTGTTTAACTCAAGGAGTAGACTTTCTGCAATAGTTCGATACAGTCTTTTATATCACGATTTTTTTTTTCTTGCAAATCGGGAAGACTCGAGTTAAATTTTGTCCGACAGCTTTGAATTGCGCTATCCATCGTTGAATAAATTCGAATTTCATTGTCTTGATCTATACAAATCTCTAAGTTAATACTAATTACAGTACAGTGGAAAGATATTGATGAATATATTTTCCACAAAGCAAATATCATAAAGTTGATATCAATTTCAACCAAAATATTGGGAAAAAATGAGCGATAAAACTATGATTACGATAAGCTAGACGTTTAAAAAATATTGTTGTTTTTTCAAGAGCCTTAATTTAGATGCTGAAAATCACAGTTTTAATTTATCGTTAAGACTAAACATGCTCAGTGTCTAATCGTGTTGATTATTTATTTTTTTTGACTGTTAGACACTTGTCATTTAGTTGTTACTCATACTGTGATGGTATCACATTTACATTTATGCAAATAATCTGTTATTTTTGTGCTACATAATTTAGAAAGAAATATATCCGATTATGTCGATTACTAATTGGACTAGATACCTGTTAGTTGTTGCATATATATGTATTATACAGAGATATAGACAAATACGAATATTGTACGCAATACGTCAATATTTATTTGAATTGATTAAGCAATCATATGGTGTTAAATAAGAGAAAGAGAGAAATCCAAACTGTGCCTATATATACATGTACCGTTAACAGACTATATACTGATTACTTGAACATGCATAGGATAGGAGAGATTGTCTATAGGTGATATATACAAAAATGAGAAAGTTATGGATGAGAATGTTGTTTTGTCGATAGAATTCTATGTGTATGTATATATATATATATATATATATATATATATATATATATATCTACGGCAGACAAACGTCACCGGACATAGCCTTCCACGTATGTTTATATTCTGTTTAATATTATGAGCCATACACAAGATAATAATCAACAATGTTGTCATTGAAGGGAGCTTATACGGTGACTTTTAAGTGAATTAAAATAAGGAACTACTTCTTAGATTTTCTAAAAGGAAACTTCATCTCATTTTTTGAGTCAGCGATGAGAAATCGTAAGCAAACAAGTAATCAGTATAAATACAATATCTTAATCGTCATATTATCCTATAGTATTCTATCATCGTGGAATTTTTCGTGGACTTATACTATTTTGTTACCGCCTTCCGAAGGTTAGGAAGTCTGTGATATTTGACTGAAGAAATAATACATGATTAAAACTTACTTTAGGAAAATATTATATTATTTACCTTTAATTGACTACTCATACACGGCATTATTTAATTCACTGTTTGTAAATACACTCCCTGTGAAAAAAAAGAATAATATAGAAAATAGTAAATAAATTTTTTTTAATACAAATAAGTCAAGTTTAAACATGTCTTAGATATATTTTGCTTATGCCTGTTTGATGATCGTGCATTTAATTCGTTACATGATCATATCGTTAATAGATACATACTTAAACGGATGTCAATGGTATTAGGATTGAAAAATTGATACCATATAATATTTTTATTAATCAATATGTGTAATTGAACAATAGTAGATGATGAAATACGATCTGTAACAAGATAGATACTAAGAAAAATAGATAGAATTGAAAAAAGAGAACATATTTGTCTATAATACTTTATCTTTTCCATTTCAATTTAGTTACATCTATCAGGAAATAACTCAATTCCGGCACTTTTCTTCTTTTTGTGAATTTATCGTCATCGTACAATGAGTAAAAACGATGAAAAAACTCATAATAATCGGAAAATATCAACAGCCAATTTGATAAATACAAACTGTTTATCAAATGATCATCGCGGTAGTTGGCAAATAGAATCAGGATATTATAGTGACAGGTCACATTTATATTCACAACAACAACAACAACAACAGGAATATCCATGTAATCATATATCAACAGCCGTCACATCCTCATCAACATTTAATCCGAAAAAAATGACTGGTAAGACTTATCTAGTCTATTTAATTATTTTAACAGTCAAGTTTTTTTGTATGTTTGCGAGATGAATATGTAGAGCGGTGGTAATGTTGCTTTATTGTCAAATTTAAATATTTCTCTGTAAACAATGGCAATTTATCTAATCTAAACAATATCCGGATAATAAAAAAAACTGTTCGATATAACGGAATGCTAGAACCGAAGCACTAACATAACAATTTTGACTAGGCACATGGACATATCCTATAGAAACAGTGTGAAAGCCTATGAACATCCTTCTTATTTTCAGATGTGTTGTTTTCAATGGTGCGATTTAAAAAGTTCAAAAATACTTATACATGGGCTTCCAGAGATCCACACTGCTTATATAGGATATGTCTATGTGCCTAGCCAAAACTGCCCACTGTGTGTCCGTTCAGAATATAAGCGAAAATGAATTACATGATAATATTCTAAAATTTAAAATATCGAAAATACAAAATCAATGTTGTACAAATAAAGACTAGAACCCATGAACTTAGTTTTATGGTAAATTGCTAAAGTAAATTTATTCTGCTGCTTTTTTCGAAAAGTCTTATGTTCAGTAACTCTTTTTTTGTTGAAAAAACCATCATTTTTATCTTCAACATTAATTTTTAAAAATGTTCATGGTTAGAGAAATCTTGTAATATTTTCGTATATTCTCCATGAAATATCAGTCGATCTTTCATTGAGCTTCGTTTACGTTTTGTAGATTTTTTGAGCGAGTATTGTGTATTGCATCATTTCTCTTTTGTGTCAGAAACGACTCAACAATGGGAATAGTCTTTTTTTTTAATTATGTCGTTTGGTTTGATCATTCAAATTTCGATAAGATATAAAAAGTACACACACACACACATATATATACATATATATATATATATTTTGTTATTTAGATGATGCTTTTGGGTATTTCTCACTTATCAGTCTATATTTGCGTGATGAACATCATCATCGTTCGTCGTTGCGATGACCTGACTTTATTCAACAAAAAGATGCAGAAAATGTTCACCTATAGATATATCGAGAGAGATACATGTATATTACATGAAAATTGTGTGTACGTCAAGTAGTGTGTAAAGAGTGCATAAATGTTAATAGTAAAATATTGAAAAAGAAAAAAATGCTTCATTGGAGATCGATTTATACCGAGTGATTGATATATAATATAATTAAAACGAGTCATTTGTATGTTTAATTGTCTGAGAGTATATATGAAGGTTATCTTTAGACTACCAAATATCATTCCGTTTGGACAAAGAAAGGTTATATTAACACGTACATATATTGACCAAACTCGATTAATGGTACTAATCTTACTTTTCTTCCACCGTCTTCTAATTTAAGAACTTTAAGAAATCTTAAAAGACGAGACGTTATTCAAAGTTCTTAAATTAGAAGACGGTGGAAGAAAAGTAAGATTAGTACCATTAATTGAGTTTGGTCAATATATGTACGTGTCTTAAATTTGTTTTCCATTCACTAGTAGAGGTCTGTGGGACGATCCTGGTCCCGCAAGACTTTTTACAGGACCAGAACCAAAAAACCATTTTTTGAAGGATCCAGGACCGGGATCGGAACCAGATCTTTTTGATAATAGTCTTGTATGAAGCGTAAAAATTGTTTAGTTTCTGTCACTTTTTGGCACTAGTTTTACGAGAAAGAACTCACACAAAATTCTAAAAGTCTTCAATTAATAAGCTCATCACAACAGACTATTGCCACTCAGAGGCCGAAACGGGTCGGGTCGGGTTCGGGCCGACGTAAAAGATATTGATTCGGGTCGCGTATGGTTGACCAGTTTCGATCGAACTCAAGTCAATATAAAATAAACTGCCTGAACTACTAAAACTTCTCCACTTATAAAAGGAAGAAATGACGGAAACCGTAAAGAATCTGACCATTTTTTTGAAAAAATTTCAAAACAATCTGATTAAGGTAACTTTCTATAGGAAAGATGTGTTTCTTTGCGAATGTATACGAAAACATTTTCATGTTTCGGGTCTAGTTCGGATCACAACTGCAAAATTTTCGGGTCGGGTTCGGTTCGGACCAACTTATAGGATATTGATTTGGGTCGGATCCGGTGCGGATCAACTTACGTTCGGGTCACGTTTGGTTGACCCGTTTCGGTCTCTGTTGCCAATAATGCTATTTTCTAGGAATTTATTGTCCTGCTGATATACTTTGTTCAGATGTTTCAAGCTACAAGTCTGCGGACCCAGAACCAAACTTATTTGGTCCCGCAGACGTCTATTCACCAGTCGGATGTATAAAGACGGTTGTTGAATGGGGGGGGGGGGGGGGGGGGGGGGGAGGGCGGTGGTGAAATTTTTTTTTTTGAGGATTTTGTTTG